GCTACTGGAGGTGCATTCTGTTAGTGATGAAGGAAATACGAGTGAGGTTTGAACACAGTAAGATAATGGAGAGCAGCTCAGACAAATGGATACATGAGAAATAGGATCAGAGAACAGGCTCGGACAAGTGGCCCAAGACAGGAAGGTCTAAGTTGCCAACTCTCCAAATGACTTTTAGAGATCTCAATCTGAAAGACAATACTCAAGAGCTGAGGAAAATCATTAAGCTCCCCTCAGCAAAGAGATATCTCAGAAAACGATCCTGTATAATAGCTGGTACAGGAGGCTTTTGTCAGAGGTATTCTAAGTATAGGAAATATTCTATTGTTTTTGTGAGTGTCTTTATAAAAAAGGTTTTTTTCCAAATTTCAGTGATCTGGAAATTACCATATTTCTTTGTTAAATAAAAAATACATATCCTTTAGAGCATATACAGCCCATGAAAATCTTGAGAAGACTCAGAGTGGGTTTCTTCATAAGACACAAAATCAGCTTGAGTCAAGTTTCATGAACAGGGTAAGAGTTTAGAGACATTTTCCAATAGCAAGAAGGCAGGGGTAGGAGAAGTAACCTATGGCTTCTACAAATCCTTGTCATATTTGTTAAAATTCAGGTGAGAAAGCTGTCAGGCACTGTGGAGGTACAGACCTGCAACACAGATGGCTTAGAAACAATAGGGCTCTTGGTAGGGCCCAGGACCTCTTCAGAATGGCAAAAGTAAAATGAGAAAAATTTTTTCTCTTTTTTAACAGTGAATTTTCCACAAAAAATGACTGAAATGTTATCATCAACACCTATGTCTCTCCTGACTGGAATAATAATATTGATTACTTTGGAACATGGTGAAGGAAAACTGGGGAATAGGAAGTTTTAACTGCAGTAAGATAAAAGGATGCAGAATAATGTCCTATGATAACTGCTTTTTATTTTTTCTACTGTAATTTTATATAGAATTGTTTTATGAGACAATTTGCTAAAAAAACCTGCCATTTTCTGAACTCTGTCATGGAATATCCAAAATTATTAAACTTTGATTCAATGATTAAAATTCAAATAAAATTCCAAAGTCAGTCAAGTCATTAGGGAAATTAACCTAGAATGATATTCAGCAAGTACATTCAATTTTGAATTTGCTTAAAGAGTTTCTGAGATGGCTTTACAAAAGAAAATATATTCTGGAAGTTCTTAGAATTGGTGAAGATTGGAGAACTGATTTTTAAAAAGCTATTTGTCTGTGTCTAAAGTATTTCAAAATGCATAACACTAGAAAGGTAGAATACTTACTTCAAGGAAAGTGTCAAATGTTTTATTTACTTGCACAGGAAGTAAAGGCAGAACACAAAAGAAGTTCCCTAGCTTTGCTCCTCAGGTTTATCCTTTATAGAACTGTAAACCATTTTGGTGAAGGCTTTGACCTGGAGCAGTTTAAAGCAGATTACCTAAAAACAAGTTCCTGAATCCACTAAAAGAGATAAAAGAACATAGAAAGTATCAGAATCTCTGAAGGCCAAGCTACTGTTGATTTCATGTCACTTCAAAAATTGTCACTTGAAAACAAACACTTAAAACACATGAAATGGTGTTTCTAAATTTCAAATGTCCACAAGAAAACACTGTACAGGAATTTTATCAGTTTGAACAAGAAAGTTAATGACTGGTAAGTGAAGGAACCAGGTTTTCTCCTCTCAGCTATTCTAAAACCTTCCTAGGTTGTTTATTTATGTTTTTTCTTCAGAATATCAGTGGTTACTTTAAAGTCACAGCCTCCAAGAAAAGGCACAAAGTGTGTAATTTCATTGAAATCTCGTTTAAATCTCATTTAAATTTGGGATAAAATTTAGTCAAAATTAAAATATTCTACTACTTTTTTATTTCCTACTATTTGCAATGAAGATATATTTTTGCAAAAACTGTATCACACTTCCTAGTTTCTCATCAAAAAAAAATCAACTGTTTCCTTCTCAGAGATGATCTGACTCTTTTAATCTTAACATAAATTATTCCTTTCCAGCACACTGGAGGTCTCCATTTTGCAAAAACATTTATTTATATACTGCGATACCTCACTAATGAAGGCGTGAGATATTCATGAGTCATTGCCATGTTTTGTGTGGGAAAAGGTACAGTGAGTTGTCAAAGAATCATAGAATGGTTTGGGTTGGAATGGACCTTTTAGCTCTCTAGTCCAATCCCCTGCCATGGAGAGGGACATCTTCAACTAGACCGTGTTGCTCAGAGCCCCATCCCACCACCTCTCTGGGCAACCTGTTCCAGGGTTTTACCTCTCTCATTGTAAAAACCTTCTCTCTTATATGTAATATAAATTAATCCTCCTTCAGCTGAAAACCATTATCCCTCGTCCTATTGCAGCAGGCCCTTCTAAAATGTTTCTACTCATCTTTCCTACAGGCCCCCTTCAGGTACCGGAAGGCTGCCTTAGTCTCCCAAGGTCTCCCCAGAATCTTCTCTTCTCCAGGCTGAACAGCCCCAGCTCTGTTAGCCTTTCCTCATAAGTCCTTATCAGGTCCTCTAATTATCTTGGTGGCCCTCCTCTGGACATGCTCCAAACAGGTTCATGTCCTTCCTGTGCTGAGGACCCCAGAGGTGGATGCAGCACTCTAGAATATAGTGTAGTAGAAGGACACGTAGTATAAATTCCCTTCTGTGCATGTTTAATGGTACAACTACAACACACAACACAGTCAGGATTCATGTTCTAACTCCATTTCCCACCACCATAAGTAGCACCAGTAGACTACTGTATGATTGTCCCAGTCATTCAACACCATGTGCAGTCCCAGCTTTTTCCTACAATCTTCATCTTTATCAAAAGATGTAGCAAGATTTTTCCAGGGGACACACAAAAATATGTTTCTAACTCTTCACAGAACTGAATCTTTGAATACACCTTATTTTCCAAATCCATGGTTTTTAATTGGGTCAACATACCACCAACAGTCACCAAAGTATCTGTAGCTTTATCCAGGAGCATTTTCTATTGCTGTTCTATGGTTACACAAAATACACAATAGGCCCCTTTAAGAAACACTGGAATTCACACCTTCTACATTAATACTGGAAAATGAAGGATAAACAGTAATATTAAGGACTCTCTAGGTGAATTAATCTAAGGGTAAATGCTGTATCCCACCAAATTTTAAAAATACTGTTTATATTGAAGTAGCTGTTTTGATGGCATCTGCATTCAATACATCAAGCCTTTTAATCTTACAGTTAGCACTAAAATATCAAGAATGATACCCCTACTATCCCTTCTTCACAATATTTGTAGGTGAGAAAAGTTGACCTAAAATACTTACTGTTTTTTCTGCCTTCATAACTTCTAAAACATCTAATTCAAAATCAGCAGAAACAGACATTCCTTAAAGCAACTTGAGCCACTGTCGTTACTTATGGAAAAAAACTTAACTAGTTGACTAGGTGGGAAAATTCCTGTCCCTTTCCTTCTTAACCTTATTACTGTGACCTTCACACTTTTCTTTTTTTATTTATTGTTTTCCAGGGGAATTTAGGATTTGACACTGCTGCAATATAGAGGAGTACCACACAGACATCAGTTGCTGGATCAACTGGGGGAATACTATTAGCATGCATCAATTACTTCCAAGATTATACCGGAAGGGTAAATTCTTCAAGGAGAAAATTGTTCCTCTTATTCATCTTCTTTTTGTACTCTACAGCTACCTCTGTATTCTACAAACTGGTGTTACTTCACTGCTTCACAGCCTTTTAATTGGGAAAAACCCTGGTGACTTAGCCCAAAAGAAAATTATGTAGCCCCCCAACACACTGGGCCATTTGTGGCCCAGCTCAAGTGTCACTCGCCCACTACTCAAGATACATCCCAAATGGTAACAGCAGCAAGTGGTTTACAACTTCTGTATGAAGCAAAGTATTTCTGAACAACACGTGCAAGTTAAATGTGAGCCTTGACACTGCTATCAGCAAGAAAAAATTACATTTATTATAGCAAAAGACTTTCTCTGTATACATTTACGCACATGAATGTTAAAGAATTTCTTTACTCCAGCTAATACAGGAACTTATAAGCCAAACACTACAGGGCAAGTTGCTTTTGCAATTTAAATTCTTTAGAATACAGCAGAGATTTTCACAGAAGAACAGATTTACACTAGTTCAGCTACTTTTCTCAATTCTGTTATTTTTTTAAAAATCACATTTAATTTAGTAAAATATTGAAACATATCCAGGCTTATTCTCAAATTCTGATTTATACTACCTTTTTCTAAACAGCACTAAAACAAAATCAGATTAAAATATTTACTGTAGGTGTAATATTATCAAGACAAACAGAATGTCAGTGACATGCATAACATCTAACACTATTTCAACATTATGCTCAATACAATATGTGCACTACGTTTTAGGAAAGCCTACAGACCAGTTTAGAAAATAATTTACATTAGTGGATAACTGGTGTTGCTGGCATATTCCTAAATGTTTAGACTAAAGATATTTTCTTAATATTTACTGGTATCTAATTGTATTGTCATTAAAAATCAGAATTGAACTACCATGTCAAAAGATTACAAGCTAAAACATTGAGTGCATATAAATCAATGATACAGAGTGCAAAAATTATGATGACTACTTTACGCCACTTCTACAAAAACACAAATTAATTTTATCACAAAAATATCTATGACACGAGTGCTCATTTAATTTTTTTAAACTGTGCACATATCATATTGCAAAAGCAAAGGAAAAGTAGAAGCATGCTCACAAAAGCTGCAGACAGAGAGGAACGTCATGCATACTGTTCACAACAACTCACAGATTACTAATAAGCTATTTGAAAAACAGGTAAACCTTTAATGCCACACATTGCTTTCATTTTAATGACAATAATTCCCCTTGCCTTCAGTAGGAATTACACCTGTGTAAATGAAAGCAAATGTAGGCCAGGAAATAAGTCTACCATAAAAAAAAAGAACTTTAAACAGAAAAAAGGCTCTAACCACTTTGTCCTCCTGGAGTTCATATCCACGAAAGCAAGAAAGAAAGGACAGAAAAAAAAGAAAAAGAAAAAAAAAACACACAAAGAAGGAAAGAGTCACTTTCATTTTGAAAGTAAGCAGTAGTATTATTAGTAAAATAAACAAATAAATAGCAAAGGAATTAATATATATCTTTCTTATTTTCCCTAGTAGTAAAGGAGATTTAGTAAAAAATAGGTAATTTTAATAATTTTCATAATCTTTTCATGGGTGAAATTGAGACAATCTTATATATATATAAAAATATTTGTGCAAAAAAAATTTGGGAATCATATCCGAATTACCTTATTAAAACAGGTGGGTCATCTCATCAAAGGGATGCAGCATTTTGCTCTACATTGGTTGGACCCCAGTATGGTAAATAATTGGTATTCATTGCACTTGCAAAGAGTTCAGCAAAATTAAAAATGTTTGTTTACTACAGACAGATGGAGGGTGTGCATAATGGCATAACTGCATGTTAGCCACTCAACAGATCTTTAAAGTCCTGGAGTTCTAATGCACAAAAAGACAGAATTTGTCACAAGTGTTCATTGCATGTGCTGTCAGATCTATAATATTTATACTTTCTTTTTCATACCCATCCATATTAAATAGAAACATTCCTATTAGTTATTTTCCTTGAAGGAATTGTCTTTTTAGTTGCTTAAAATTGTAAATACTTTAGAAAACAAAAATAATGAAAATGTTTTCAGTCAAAACTAAACCCCATCTTTGTGAATAATTAATAGTGATTTTCATCTGGTACCTTAATTTCACATGCCAATATAGAGACTAAATCTAGGCACAGAATTAAGCATTGGCTTTGCTGGTAACACAGCTGCTCACCAAGAAAGGGTGACAACTTATTTTACAGCTTTGTTGTTCAGATACCTGTATGACTTGTAACTTTATAACATGTAACTCTTATAGAAGGTTTAGGTTCCCTCCAATCCTAGAGTTACAAACAAACAGGAGAGAATACAACAGAGGCCAAACAAGACAGTCAGGCAATAAAACATACAGTATACAAGGAGACAGGTTTGTTCAGCCTAAAGAAGGCTGGGGTAGGGAAGGGCATAGGAAGAGGGGCACTACTTGCATTCCTTAACTATTTAAAGATTAGCTATAGGGAACACAGTGACAATCTTCTTGAAGATGCACAGCTACTGGACAAAATACAACAATCAAGGCACTGGATTGAACATAAGAAGAAAAGAAAATCACAAGAGTTGTTAATCACCAAAATAAGTTGCCCAAAGAGATTTAGAGATTCTCCATCATAGAAGCATTTTACAATTCAGTTGAACAAAGTCCTGAAAACCTGTGTGGAACAGGAGATTGGTCTAGGTAACCCCCATAAATCACACCTGACCCAACTTATTCTGTCATCCTATGTACAATGGCAAAAGATTAAAGTATTTTCAAAGATGCTGTGGAGTTTAGTGATATTCTCAGTTATACAATACTATATCATTTACAATCATATGGTAAATATCATTGGAAACTAAATCACAGAATGTCTGTTATCACTCTGTGTGCAGAAACACATTTATCTGCTCAGCATCAGGTGCTCTGATACTTTCTTAGCAGGACTTCCTGTGCCAGTGCAATAAGAGTGGCAGTAATGCTCAGAGATATTTTACATGGAAACGTCTAATGCCACAGTTTCTCATCCTCACCTCTGAAGAGATACACACTACTATCCAAGAGGATTATAATCCTGTCATTCACACTTTGATCATAACAGTAACCTAGACTTGGTTCACACAACCGACCTACGCTGAATAACCTCCAGGATGAAGAATCTCTTTAAAGAAACAAGCTACAAAATATAAAGATATGTAAAGTTCAAGACAAGCCATCACACTTTACCAAATACCTAAGACTGCCTTCAGCTCTCAGCTTCCTCCCCCCACATTATCAAACACTCTTCACTTCATCGCAATACACTGCAGGCAATGACATATCTGACCATATGATAGTCTAGCCAGTTATTTTGATAGCAAAGACATTAGAGAAATTATTCAATTCTGTTCTCAAAGAACTGATGCTACAAAAGCAACAAATCAGTCAGATTTCAGTGCTATTTCTCCTGTTCCACATGAAAATGAAAGTATATTTTAATAATGTTTTTATGGAGAAATGCTTTATCTCCACAAGTAGTCAGACACACAGAAATATTAGCAAAATTACTGGAATTCCATTCTATACTCAAAATAAATCTAGAATGAGTCAATATCTATTAAAAAACATCTTTAAGAAGGTCAATCTGGTATCTGACTGCATGAGCCAAAGCCACTCTTCAAGACAGTATTTTTCTCACCTCAAGTGCCAAAAATTATGAATCTGGGTAAAATTACAAGTTCTTCATTATTTCAGGATCATAATAACCTCTAAGGTTTATGAAAACTTTGAAGTAGTGAAGAGTTCAAACACATGTAACCTCTGTTTAAATTGAGACCATCATCTGCTGTTTAATGAGACTCAGAAGAGCTATCAAATGTAAATAGTTTCAAATACATAAAATTAATAATGGAAATATTTTGTGCAGTTTTCATTTGAAGGGAATGATTGTATTAAAATTACAAGGGTTTTTTGAGACATCAAGAGAATCCGAGGTATCAATACAGAAATGCAGATTCTGAACATCAGTTCTGCTAGACATCAGTTGGCAAGCAAAGTTTACAGACTGGGAAAGAGCAACATCTCCTGGCTCCAAATGGTAGTTGTGGTAAGATTTTTACTCCAACTAATAAATGCAGACATTTGAAAGTTTTAACTGAAGTATTATACTGGGACAGTGCACTGCTTCCATTCTGTCTTGGCAGACGCAGGTCAGCAGCTTGGCCAGGGCCAGGAGCAGAGCACAAAGGGTGGCGTGAGGCAGGCCGTGCTCCCACCTCCAGGGCTGTGTCCCACAGAATGCACCCAAGAGAAACAGGATAGGGTCCACGACTGTAACTAGGGTCAACAAAGAACCCAGGTCTCCAGCAGGTCCATGGTGATGAGGGAGAGCTGAGGCAATCTGGGAAGCCAAGCCTACAGCTTTGGCTCAGCAAGGAAACCAGACAGGCCAGCAGCACGGCTCAGGTAGGGGCCAGGGACTGGAGCTCCCAAGAGGGCTTATTGCAGACCATCCTCACGCAGCTCTTTCTGCAAGGTTGATCCCAGGTTACAGCTGCATCACATCAGAGAAGCCAAACTCCATTAGGGAATGAGTGAGGAAAGCTACAAAGGACCAGGATGTACACCAGCTGAACTGTAGTACCGATTAGTTTGGGTATAACTTTCAAAAGAATAAAGAGATTGATCACCTCAAATAAAATGGAGTTGATCACTGTTTAGAAACGTCTTAACAGTCATAGGCATCCACTACTATATTAACATTGTTCCAACATAATCAGAACCAGATTTCATATTGGAAGTCTTCAATATATTTGGTAATACAAGCTCTATTCTGTTCATGGGGAAACTAAGATGGGAAATTAATCCTAATGGTTAGGATAACTTTTACACTCTCCAACTGGGAATTTAAAACTTCTGAATGAGAGATTGTCTTTGGAACAATTTAGCAGCTGACTTTCTTTTCACAGATACTTGTTCTGAGATACTCCAGAAAGACAAATGTAGTTGCAGGTTATGAGATTTTAGAAGTGTCACATGGACTAAATCGAATAGAAAAAAAAAAAAACACATGTGTTTTAGAGAAATCCTTTCCTTAAGTTTGTAATGTCCCCTGTCTCTTGTAGAGAAATGTAGAATCAACCCATGTCTTCTAAGGACCAACTTATTTGTAAGCAAATCATTGAGTTTATCCCAAATCCTAGTGACTTTGAAAACCTGATTGTGACAGACTAATTCTTTGGTGCTTGACAATTCTCAACAGAATGAAATGGATTATGCATTAGCACAGGCATGCTAAAATTCTGTGTTGTGACTCCAGACAGATGGTCATATCACAAGTCCTGCAGTTAGAATCATTCAACAAAGAGAACTTAATGTTTTGCTGAAAATCAAACATAGCCTCAGAGAAATAATCAGAATGCAAAGCTTTCATTGAACCAGAGGGAGCTGAGAGAAGTTCCCTACTTATACCTAATGTGTTTCCCATGACGTTACTGAATTCTATAAAACAACTGAAAATCTCTTACTTTTGTTCTTCAAAGACAAAAAAGAACGATGCTTTGATGGCTGCAAGTGATAGCAGGTTGTCAAACACCCTGAAAGAAGGGTTTCAGCACGCATTAGTCAAGTTTTTAGACAAGTATTTTTTTCTTTCTGTACAAGTGATATGTTGGTTTACTGAACTGGCATTCAGAGCTACTGAAGTTTATATTCACTGCACATGATGTTAAATCTATTTGGAAACTGCATTTTTCCAGTATTTTAACATTTAAATATTTCACATGTATAAACCTCATTCTGCTGTCAACTGCCTCATTCAGTGTGCATTTCCCTATACAAATCAGTATATAATAAAGAAAAAGAACAGTAGTATATTTTATGTATCAGTGGAACTCTTTTCACTAAGAACAATTACTACTTGCTGTCATGTGATTTATTATTTCAGTTTTAATCAGTCTGAAATTGTTCATAAACATAAACCATGACAGTTCAAGGTTCCTTAGTCCCTTGAAATTTCAGCCCCCATTCTGGCTGAATACTCCATTCATTAACATAATAAGCTGTATAGAAGCGAAAGTGCCACCATTATCAGTTTTATTTGTTTGATCTAGAAGGAACTCCCACATAATGAGAATTTTTCTACAGCTTGAACTGAATGCTAATGCCTATATATTTCAGGCACTGTAACTAAACTGAAAAAGGAATAAATCATCCAAACATTCTGAGAATCCTAATCTAATGCTCTGACAACAGTCAAAACAGTTCCATGGCCTGCTCCTGCTCATGACCATGAACCTTGTAAGCAGTAGTCAGCATTCTGACCTTTGAAAGAGAAGTGTTCTTTGCAATTCTTCATCATCTGAGGTGTATGCTGCTAATACTGGTCTGTACTAAACTATTTGGTATCTGAATCTGGTGTAAAAGGCATAAGTTTGGCTTGAAAATTGATATTATGAAAAGCATCACAAACAGATGAAACAGATCCATGACAGAACGTTTCAGACAGCGTAAGAATCTCCTTATGTAAGGTCCAAAGCAGACATATATAACCTGCCAAAAATGTACACAAACACCAAAGACAGCAAAGTTAAAACAGAAAGTTATTAGAAGCAATTCTTCAAGAAGTTGAAGTTGTATCCACGAAGGAAAACAGAAAAGAATGAATCCTGGTGAATTCCAGTAGATGTAAATCATTTTAATGGAATACTGAGCATAGGCATAAATGAGAACATAAAGAGGAGACTGCCATAGTCATTTTGAATTAGATCTTTTCTGTTCATATTCATGGTGATTAGAAAGGTATTTACTCTAGAATATTATTTTATGCAGAATGAACTGGAATATATACTTAAAACTGATATTTCAGAAAGAGAAGCTATATAGGGAATCAACAAAAAAAACAGTAAAAATTTTTAAATGAGATGATATTCAGTGTAAAACATCTCAAGTTTACTGCAACACAGTCTTTCATTGACAAGAAGTATAAGGGGTGGCAAAATACCAATTTATTCATTTTTAAGGAGTTTCAGCATTACATCAACTGAAAAATAGAAAAATGAGTCTAACATCCACATTAGACAGATTTGTAGAAATAAAAATACAGAATAAAATTAGCAAGCATATGAATAAATTATGATAAAATGTGAAAAAGTCAGAATGGCTTTAGTAGAGGGAATTTGTGTCTGTATTAGAATTCTTCCAAGGAGACACAGAGAAAGTGAGAAAAAGGGATTTATTCCTACTGCTTAGTTGGAACTACAGACTTTTAAAGAATCTCAACTGCCATGGAATAGGAATAAATTTATCCATGAAAAACTCAATTAATGAAAAGAAAAGAAGAAAAAGACAGGACTAAATGGTCAGGCTTTTTTTGAGGGAAAGGTATCACCAGTGGAGCCTCACAAGGGATCAGTCTAGAGACACTCTGTTCAGCAATTATCTAGGATAAAAATGAATGAGACAGAAAAGCCTCACACTAAATTAGCAACAGTAGTAGAAAAAAACACCAGTTGAGAAGAGTTTCAGAACAGACTCACAATAGACTGAATGGAGAAGCCAGCTTACAAAAAGACAGATTTAGGTTAGATGGTAAAAAAAATCTTTCTGTGGTGAGCATGGTGAAGCACTGGAGCAAATTACCAAAGAGGCTGTGGAAGAATCTCACTGCAAATCTGTCAAGAGACTTCAGACAAATATCTGCCACATTCAAATGCTCCATCCCAAGGAAAGTGTAAATGCTGTATTAGGAAATGAAGCCTTCTCCCTAATGCACTTTTTCTATGTTTGCAAGTATGTAGGCATAATGACTCAAATATCTGTCATCATTGGCATTCATAATCAGATGAAATTACTTCAGAAATTATTATCTCTCTTATTACCGGCAACAATTTAGTTAGTTATAAAAAACAAATAAAAATATGTGAACTTACTGAAGACAACATTTTTAAATTATCTTAATGAAATCCAAGGCAATTTGAGACACTTACATATAATCTTAGTTACATTAATCATCAGGAAATATTATCATACTTTTGTATATTTTTATAATTTTATTATTATTTACTTTGTCAATCAAAAACTTCAGTCCATTATTTAAACCTACCTTTCCATCTTAGACAAAGAAGTACATACCAGTCTCCTAGCTTCCAAAAGATAATATTTGCTGATTGAATGGTATTTGCAAAGAGCATATTACAGAAAAAAAAATGGAAATAAACCATATAATAATATTTTAATAATAAATATTAAAATATTACATTATTTTGTTGCTTTAAAAATTGTTTTTCCACAAAAGACTAGCCTAATACAGCTGGAGTATTGTCATAGATCTTCTACAAGTATCTGTCAGAATATGAGACAGATTCTGTGTATCAGATCTGAACACTATACCTGAAATGTTGAATAAACTGATCTCAACAGTTTTCTTTGATTACTTCAGTTGTGCTGAATTTTTTACTCTATCATGCAACTTTTTAAAAAAACTCAGTGTTTTTTGCCTATTGTTATACAATAAACACAAGTATATACTAGTTGCAACAATATATGTTAATGCATTTAATTATTTCCTAAAAATAGTTTGACATTTGCATGTGTATGTATATATAAATATGAATAATATATGTGTATATGTATAATAGATAATAAAGGTTTAAAAGCACAGTAGTATATTATATATAATATTCTAACACTAATTTTACCATAATCTTGTGCAGAAGAGCCTGGGCAAGGAAAGAGAGAAACAAAGCCTTGCTCTACTTTGTAATAATCAGTGTCTCAGGAGATCACTAGATATACTTCCCTGTCTTAAATAGAGACTCATCCTCCAATCAAAGAATTGTCCTTTCATGAGTTTGTTAGTCGAAAAATTATACATATTAACTTAAAAGCCATAATCATAAATCCATCTGCAGCTGGAAATTACATGAAATGAGGACAGATGTCTTAAAAGCCCCAGAAGTAGATATCATTACCTCCTTAAAGGAAATCTGTTTCAGTAGTTATGTGATTTGTGTGCATAAGCAATGAATAAGAGATACTGAGTTTAGGAGAAGTTTGTTAAACTCTCATGACTCCATACCTTATTTGACCGCAAAGACACTCTTCCTCCACAGCGCGCACAGAATTTCGTTTGGCAATATGAACAGTTATGGCCACAGCCATCAGCAAATTTTGTTTTGTGGCAGATACCACAGGTTGGGGCATCACCCTTCTGCTCCTGCTGCTGCTGTGATTCTTCACCCATCTTCTTCACTTGCTCCTTATACATTTCAAACTGCTGATGTAGTTTTCTGCAGAAGAGAACATACAAATACAAGTAAAATACAAATCAGAGTGAAATACTGTAGTAAAGCAAATAAATTTAATTTATGATGCTCCAGAAGTGTTACATTCTTTTTCATTATAACTAAATTCTAGGAGGAAGCTCAGCATTGATAGCATTCAGCTCACAGCCCAGCTGTTACAAAGAGAAGTAACTTTGACTTGGGATGTGACCAGCTGTGTGCTGAAAATACAACAGTAAGAAACAGGTTGAGTGATCCAAGAGCCCATAGCACTAGACAATAAACTGGTTAACTGCAGTGGGAAAAAAATCAAATTCATTCTTCCAAGTGTTCTTTCACCTAATTCTATCAGACAGATGCAGATATCTTCTCTTGATAGAGTTTATCTTCATTTATCTAACAATACTGCATAGAATAATGATTCTAAAATACGTTTTCAATGACTTTTCAATCATCGGGTTCAAGCCCATAATAAGTTACCTCATCTTAACAAGTGATTATAAATCATTTAAGCCATTCAAATCATTAGATAGGAACTACCACCTTATGTAAAACGTAAGGTATGAGACTACCTTAGGTGTAAAATCCAGGAATGATAGTTTAAGACACACAGACACATTTACTTTCCATTTGCAGAACTGGAAACACATGCATAGCCAGTGGCCATGTGTGTACAGAATTGCAATGAGTCTTTCAGTCATGCTACTTCATTCATATTTCTGAGTCTGCAATTATCAAATCTCCATATATGATAATTAGGCACCTCTCACTATGACCAAACTTATGGATTTATTTCATGATTTATAATGGCAGCTTTTTCTCAAAACCCCTGTTTCTGAAGTAAATGATGTTATGGGAAATTTAATTTTCATTGTAAAAAGTCATAATCTTTTAGCTCTCCTAGATTCTGAAAACTATGGAAAATGTGACATAGCGTATTGTAAGAGATTCAAGTACAAAGAGGAAACAAAAAGAACTTTGTCTTCTCTGTTTTCCTTGTCATTCAAAGGGTCTGAACAGTGATATTTAAATTCATAGCATGGAATTCAACTCACTAAATTTGCTAATAGAGTCTGCACATTCTAGCAAACTAAAAGTTATTAATCTAATTTAAGCAGATTTTTAGTTCCTTGAATAAGATCAAGCAAAACCCCAAAAATGAAGCCCTTTCTAAGAAACATTAAAAAGGTAACCTAAGAAAAAAATACTAAAATTGCAAAAGACATTTATTTTTCCTTAGAATTATACTTCTAGAGATTCTTGAGTTTAGGTTATTAAAAAATAGAACAAAAAACAACCTCCCAGAAAAAACACTAAATCCAGATGACCAACTTTCTTCAGCATACATAGTGGCTGATTATTCTTTATATAGATCAGAAATAAATTAATGATGAAAAACTATTTCATCAGAAGTGTTAGAGGCTCTTGTAAAAACAAATATTGCACAGAGTCACTTAAAGATTAATTCAAGCAGTTATTTACCATAGATATTCAAACATATGGCAAGAATTGTTGGGATTTGCTTTGTTTTTCAGGAAAACTACCCTAAGAACATATTTTACATTACAGAGGAATTGTAGGAATAAATAGGCAGCTCGCTCTCTCCATCAGGCAATACAGGAGGCTGGAGGCCTTCCTCTTCCCCTGTGTCCCAAACTGCTGCCTTGAGCTCTCAACTGCCACTGACCCTTTCCCAGAAAGAGGGAAAGCAGGGCCACTTCATCTTGCTTATGTGTCATTTGTCTAATATACCTGCTTCTGCCACTGTGATATCAATTCTGAGTCCACAGGCTGGCCTCAGGGCACAGCAGTGTGGACTCAGAATAACAGTGGCATGCTTTTCTCTCACTTTCAGCCCTTCCACATTCCCGAGCCTCCTGGCCTGCAGCGGGGCAGGGACAGGGGTCTTGTCTGAGGCATCCACGGGAAGGATGGGTGGGACGTCATTGCCTTAAAAGCCATTGGGGGAGTCAGGGTGAGGGGCTTCCTCTGCCTCCTCACTGATTCAACAGAGCTCACTGTTGACTGTTGAATAGGGCAGGACATGAGTTACTAATAAGAAAGAGCTGAATGAAGTTGAAAACAAAATTTAGAAATCTGGAAACCTCGCACATTTCAGTGTTTTACACTGACAACAGTATATAATTGGTAGTTGGTAGTCTGGCCTGTTTCCACCAATAACACATGAAAGCTCTGAGACCTTGCTTGCCTTTTAATTTTGCTTAACATTGCATTCTTCATTTAAAGCATATTAACTATGCTGAACTCCAAGTTTATTTTTAGGCTCCATTCAGTTTTGTGGCTTCCTTATAATCTACAGCCTTTGTTTGTATGATTATTTGCTTACCAGTCTCACTGATGCATAAAAAGCACAAGCCTCTTGCCAAATCTTAAGCCTCATGTACTGAAATAATTTCACTTTTCTTTCCTCTTGAGCACAAGAATCTATCTAAAGGTCACAACTTTTCCCTCAAAGTATAAACTTTTCAAGGTTATACAGAGTAGTTTTATAAAATCCTTGTTCTAGTAGGAAACAATTTATCATCTGTCACAGTAGTTCTTTACGATATCTTTTTCTGTTCCAAGAAAAATATGACATGTATTGATAGCTATCAGAAAAAAATAAACACAGAAGAATCCATGAAATATTCAGTCACACACAATATGTGTTCTACTTACTAAGCAGAACCACTTGAGATGAATATGCATACTTGAAACAAAATACAAAATATTCATTTTAGGAAGTCTATTTTGTAGATAAATAATTTTTTTTTTTGCTCATCCAGCCTGAACAGGTTTAAGCCAAAAATTAAGCTGATAACATGCAGCAATAATTAAGTGTTTAGAATTGAACGGTATCTAAAACACATTTAGTAAAAAATGTTCAACATCTACTTTTCAGAAAACATAGTGCAAATAAAACTCCATTTTGTTCAAGTTGCACTCATGTTTTAACTCTGAACATTGTTGCCTGAGAGGGCTCAGGACTTCAGTTACCAGGGAAAGAAAGTAACCAGTACCAAGGCAAACTTCAGAGCCTGGAACTGAACTAGGGTGTCCCACAGCTACAATTTCCAGTTCTTATATCCAGTGAGTTACTCTGTTAATGCAAGTGGTCCAGATCCATCCATGATTCATAGAACCATTTAGGTTGGAATAGGCCTTTAAGATCGTTGAGTCAAACCATTAACTTAATTCCACTACTAAACCATGTCCCCAGGTGCCTCATCCATGAGTCTTTTAAATACCTTCAGGGATGGTGACTCAAATACTTCCCTGGACAGCCTGTTCAAATGCTTGAAAACCCTTTCTGTGAAGAAATTTTTCTTACTATCCAATGTAAAACTCCCTCGGTACAACTATAGGTCATTTCCTCTTGTCCTGTTGCTTGTTACCTGGGAGAAGACCCCCTGCTAAAACCTCCTTTCAGGTAATTGGAGAGAGTGATAAGGTCTCTTCTTCAGCCTCCTTTGCTCCAGGCTCAAGATCCCCAGCTTCCTCAGCCACTCCTCATGAGACTTGTGCTCCAGTTCTTTCACCACCTTCCTTGCCCCTCTCTGGACTCACTCCAGCACCTCAATGTCTCTCTTACAGTGCAAAAAAGGGTTCCATACAGGGGGTGCATTTTAGGTCAAAATGCTTATCCATAACGAAAAACCTTATTCTTATGCATGATAAGGAAGTTGTGTTGGTTGTAAACCCAGATAACTATACCAAACCACACATTAACAAATGATTTAGGTAGAAAACTCAGCAATGTATATTTATAACCCTTATATATGTATATTCTGACAATGGTCTCAATAGCAAAAGCCATCTAGCTGTATGATGGAAAGTCTCTCTCCTTTATTAAATTTGTTTCAAAAATATATGTACTTTAATAATAATTATAAATTTTAGAGGAGAAGTAGAACTTGGTATGAATTTATGAAAACACCAAATGATAATGAAAAATTAGGCTAAAAAATTGGCAATTAAGTTCTGCTCATTTTCATCTCTTGATGAAGTTCCCTGAATCATACTTGTGTCTGCTGGAAGTTACAGTGGTGAAGTTCATGAGACTTACATGACTAGTCAAGATTTTCTTTGTCCTGTAAAACATCATATCCAAGAAAGCTTCATAGAGGACTTCTCAATGTCAAAAGCAACTGTTTGTAAGAGCTTGGGTTGCTGTGTCAAGGTCAAGAAATAGTTACTATTCGAATACTTGTTTTGTTCAGGAAGGGACTTAATTTAATTCTGCTTATCCTTGCTCCCTCACACCTTTCCAAGAATGAGAAATTCAATATCAATCAAAAAGCAGTAAACTGTGAGAGTCTCAAAATCCATGTCAAAGGCAAGTAAGAAAAGCAAGTTTATCAGTCGGATGTCTCTTAGTATTGTACAGAACATTTTTTTTTCCATCCCCCCAAAATGTCCATAAAACTTCCAGCTTTTTACCAAAACAAAAAAACAATATTATTGACAAGAGGTTCTGAAACTATTCCTGCCTTCCAAAAGTTCACATAAATATGCCTGAAATTTCCAAAGCTGCTTAAAATCTACCACTAAAAGGGTGACTGTTAAGTAAGTATCCAGGATGTTTAGGCCAGCTGTGAGTCTCACAGCCATTGCTTATTTCCTGGCTACACTTCTCTCAAAGTTTTATTACTAATGTAGCCCGTGCTCATTTCCTATTCCCAGGCACAGAGCACGGATGTGGCTGGAATCCAGGCTTCAAAAAGAGTTTGTGCGCTTTCAGTTCTGCCAAGTCCATTCATTTAATGATTTTTCTGCCTGGTGGCAGTGACTCTCTAGTAGCACATGACATTCTTCCCTGTACTGTACACTTAAAGTTTCTGCTTTTATCATAGTACCAGCTAACCTGTCACCTAGCACACCTACTTCTCTTCTCAATGAATATTATTCTTACATATATATAAAACTTATATATATATAACTCCATGCATTGGTAGAGGCTGGGAAACAACAGGCTGAACAGCAGCTCTGCTGATGGGAAACCCTGG